AATATCAACTTTTTTTTAGAATCGAAAAAAAAAATTTCAGGATATGAGAGTTTTTTATTTTTCAATATTTTTTCTTATTTTGATATTATTAAGAATTTTAGAAAACTTCAAAAATCACATTTATGAACTAAACTAAGAAATTAAATTATGAAAAATAAAATTCCAATAAAAAATTTTATTTTCTCCCAAATCAAACACCCCCTAAATATTATTCAACATTTCTACTTATTTATATATGCTTAATTTACTTATATCATTCTTGACATTTTAGGTAAGCTACATGATTATCTTGCATTTTTGTAGGTTTTCACTGTTTAGTTTACACTAATATGAACTAGCTTTATAAAAGTAGGAGCCTGCAATCTAAAATTATTAGCCAATAATAAATTGTTTAATGTGTTAATTTGCATTATCTTTTCAAAGCTTGCTGGAAGCAGGGATGGTAGTGGATCATTATACAGGCGGATATGATATTCTTTGTCTTTTTATCTGATTACGATACTTATATTTGTCTTTGTATCCGTCTTTGTACTTAGTGGGTAACAAGCGACTTGAACCCGTCCTGAATATTTTGTTAAAATTTTTTAAAAAATTAAAACAATTAAAATATATATTATAAATTAACCTAAATTTCAAATTTTCAAAAAAAATTAAATACATATTTAATCTCTAAATTTTGTAATTTTTATCATATTGTTACCTAAAAACTTTTTTCTTACATCGGTATATGAACTTTTAGATTGTTATCATATTGATACTTTTAACTAATTTTATTAGTTAACTTTACCAACGTAGTATAAATATATAACAAAATATTAATACGTGTAAAAAAATTCAATTAACATTATATCTTTAATGCCACATTATGTCGTGTCATGTCTACATAATATTTAAAAGAAAAAAAAAAGAAAAAATTCAAAAAATTTCAAAAATAAATTTTGAAAAAACAAAAATTTATTTTTAAATTATAAAAAAATTCTAAAAATTCTAAAAATTTTAAACAATTCTAAAAAAATTCTAAAAATTTTTAAAAATATTTTTAAAACTTAAAAAATTCTCAAAAATATTGAATTTTTTAAATCTAATTTTTTTCTTATTTTAAAAAAATTCTAAGAATTTTAAAATTTTTTAAAAATTTTAAAATTTCAAAAAAACTTTTAAAAACTTATAGAAATTCAAAATAATTTAAAATTTCTTTTAAATTCTAAAAAAATTTAAAAATTTTTAAATTTATTAAAAAATTAAAAAAAATATTAAAAAAAATTTTTAAAGTGAAAAATTTTTTTAAAATTTTTCAAAAATTTAAAAAGTACTAAAAAATTTTAAACAATTTTAAAAAATTCTAAATTTTTTTCAAAAATTATAAAAAAATTTTAAATTTTATAAAAATAAAAATATGAAATATTTTTATAAATTATAAAAATTATCATAACTTTGAAAATTTTACAAATTTTGAAATTTTTCAAAAAAAAATTATAAAAATTTAATTTTTTTGGATTTAAAAAAATACAAAATAAAAAAAAACTAAAAATAAGAAATAATCTAAAAACTTTTAAAATTTTTTGAAAAATTAAAAAATTTGAAACATTAGTTTAAATTTTTTGGATTTTTTTTAATTTGAAATTTTTGAAAATGTTTCATTTTTCGTAATTCGTTTTGAATTTTTTTAATCTTTTAGAATTTTCAAGAATTTTTATAAATTTTATACTTTTAAAATGTTTTAAGAATTTTTTAAAATATTTTGAAATCTTAAAATTTTTTTGAAATTTTAAATTTTTTAATAAATTTTAAAAAGGTTTTAGAATTTTTTTTTGACAATTTTAAAATTTTTAATTTTCTAAATATATTTTTTAATTATTTTAGAATTTTTGAAATATTGTTATAATTTTAAAATTTTTTCATATTTTTTTAGATTTTTTCCAATTTTCTATTTTTTAAAACTCTTTTTAATTTTTAAATTTTTTTTTAAAAAATTAGTTTAGAATTTTTAGAAATTTATTAAAATTTATTAAATTTATTTTAATTTTTTAGGTTTTTATTTAACATTTGAATTTTTTTTTGAAATTTTTTTGAAAATTGAAAATTAAATAAATTTATTTTAGAATTTTTAGAAAATTTTAAAATTTCTTAAAATCTTTTTAATTTTTTATTTTTTTTTAACTTCTAAAAAATTTTTGATTTTTTTAGAATCTAAATTTTTTTTAGAATTTTAAAAAATTTTTTAGAGTTTTTTTTTTAATTTTTCTTTTAAAGATGACGTGATGTGATATAGTATTAATTGTATTTTTTGATACGTGTTAATATCTTATTAGATATTTATGTTATGTCAACAAAGTTTACTAAGGGCGTTAGTTAGAGTGATAACGATTTGAAAGCTTAGGTACAAATGTGATAAAAAAAAATTTTAAGTATCAATATGATCAAAATTTAAAAATTTAGGGTTAAATATATATTTAACCTATCCAAAAAAGTTAATTTAAAAAATTAATTTAATTTTTTATGGAATAAAATTAACAAAGGTTGTCGTTAAATAATATTGGGAGCAGTCAAACTAAAAGAAAATAATTTATAAGATGGATAATACTTTAGTAGTTCTCATACTTGAAATCGACTAATTAATTAAGATAATTGAGTATAAAATGATTTTCATATCCCTACGGTTCAAGTCAAGAAATAAATTATACATCGAGTATGCGTGAAATTGCTAATCTCTAACTTGAAGAAGTCAAATTTAAGCTTACATCAGTTTGGCCTCATATGGCGGCGAAGATCAAAAGTCTTCTAAAGGATAAATGAAAGACTTCCAATTCTGATTAATGGGGCCACTAAGAAAATGTTGATTGGGGATATAATCTTAATCATTATTTTCATTTTCATAGTCATTTTCTTATGAAATTTTTTATCACCAAAACAGCCCTTCTATGATTCCTCCCCTTTGAATTTTTTAAGAAATAAGTGTTACTACTCTTTGATAAATGTGTTTTTCAACTATCCAGTCATCGGTAAATTTTGACATTTAATTTTGAGAAGTTAATTAAAATTATATATTAATTTTTATTTGTTATGTTATTTAAATTTGAGTGTGAGTGTTAATTATAAATGTCTCTAATATGAATTTGTTTATTTTAAAATTTTTTTATCATATATTTAAATTATTCGATCTCTATTCTCACATTTATAACATATGTGTTGAATATAAATATTTTAAGAAAATAAAATTTTAAGCAATTAATATAATTTATTTGAGATTTTATCATACAGAAAAAATTAAAAACGGTCGCAAAAATTTAAGAAGATAAATGCATAGACTAGTATATATATATATATATATAATATCTTTAATGCTTGTTAAAAATTTAAAATCTTATTGAAAAAATTAAAAAACTAATTTATTTTTTTTAATTTATATGAGTTTGACTTAATATACATTTAATGTTTGTCAAGGTTCATTTTACTCGATGAAGAAGTCTTAAATTTGAATCATGTCAGTAACTGTTTATTGGAGTTATCTTGAATGCACGATTTATAATCATTTATCTTAAGTTATCAGATACGACATATCTTATCTTGACTTAAGAATTGAATAATCTACTACCTACAGTTAGATTTTGTTTCTTACAAAAAAAAAAAGTCTATTACTTTTAATTAATTGTTTATGAGTAATAATTGTGAATAAAACAAATAGATAAATAATGAAAATTTCATTTATTTTAAATTACAAAGCATGAAATTAGATTAAAAATAAAAAATTACTAAATAATAATTTTAATAAGAGAATTAATTTAATTTAATTTAATTTCATATAATATTTATAATATATAGTATATAACAAGGGATTTTCAAACTACCGACCGCGTGCCACTAGACCGATCTTATACTTCCTTTAATTTTTTAAGAAATTCGATTCGGGTTTTGGATTTTTAAAATTTTTAAAATTGTAATGTTATTTTTAGTTTATGTAAAATTTAAGAATAAAATGAAACATTTTATTTATATAAATAAATTATAAAATTAATAAAAAATACAGTTCTATGCTGTTTCGAGAATCTATTACGTGTTTAGTATTACAACCAAAATCGAACCCAATGCACAAAAATCTTGAATTAAACTTTGCGGTTCAAATTGGTTCTTCTTTTATTATTATTATTATTATTATTATTATTATTATTATTTGGTTTAGTCCTCTCTCAGGTTTGTAATATAGTACATCAGTCTCTTGACAGATTCGTAATTAAGCATTTTGGCATTAATGAGTTTAAGTGTTTTGGTATTAATCTCATTAATAATTATAATTAATATACACTTCATTTAAAAAAAAAAACCTTGAAATGAACAGATAACTTTTTTTACTGAAATTGTCCAAAATTTGAATTTTAATTATTAAAATTAAGATTTTAATGCAGATTATATGATTGTTGGCATTCGAAAATTAATTTTATTTGTATGGTCTAACTCATCATCAATAAGATAAATCGAACACAAAATTTAATTCAATTAAATCATAGCATCGTGAAAAGATAATATCAAATAAATTTAAGGTTTAAATTTTAAAAATTACAATCAATTTTCGATTTTTTTTTTAAAGGATAGATTATCTGGCCAAACAACAATGAATAAATAACATCACAAACCAAAGTTGCCTCTAAAATGCAAAGCCAGTAATGGAAATTTGTGGGATATCACATGGATTGCTTCCTCAATAGTTAATCCAATAATGCAGAGTCATAAATTCGCAAATCTCCTTGATGAAATCATTGAAATGCCGACTGGAAGTAAAGCAACATACTATTCCGCAACATTAGGACAGAAAGCAACTGAAACTGTAGAGGAAGAATTTCTGCACAAACTATACAAATTATTTAAATCAAAGCATCTAGTAATACATTCAAAAACCAACTGTTCATTTTGGTCTTTAACATATGGAATGTAAAACTTTTTCAGATTTCAATAAGATAGAAACAATACAAACCTTTGATCTTCAGCTTATTGAATTTTGGTTTCAAAATGCTTATCATAAGCCCATAAATAGGCTCAATACAGAATGGGATGTATGTTTTTTTTAACAAATTGTATAAAACAAAATTGCAACCAAAAGATTGATTATGGATTACATTTCCAACAACCCTTATTAAAAAAGATTTTATTTAATTACAATCCAGAGAAGTAAAGCAAAAAACTTCCATTTTAACTCTAAGAACCCAAAAAAAAAGGCAAGATTACAGAAGGGGGGCAAAAAGACCACCAATTTTTCTAACAACCAAAACCCACCACCAACACAACATTTGGATTGGGATGCCATTGATTGGTTTTTTATTGCTTATATATAGTTACTCCTACAAGATGACTTGAACAAGAAGTAATGATACACAAGACAGACCATATATATCAGAATTGGATCATAGATATAACTTAATATGCCCAAGACCAAAAGGCATGATCTTCAACAGGGAACCCAGAATTACATGAACTTGCAGGCGGGTCGGAGTAATCGTCATCTTCAAGTTTTGGAAAGATGTATGAAGGAGGATGCAACAGGACCTTACTCAAGTTATCTTCCTCATCTTGTGATAAATCAGACTGGTCTGGTTCGAAAGGATAAGATGAATCAGCTGCCTCCAACAGTGAAGAATGAACACCGTCAGTGTAATGTGGGCTGTCTGAATCAAATATATCACTTTTGGCATAACTGATATCTTCCTGTTTATAGGCCACCAGTGAAACCTTAGACTCTTCACCCTCGGAAGCTGTTTCAGCAGCAACAGATTTTTCTGGTGGCTCTTGTGACAATGTGTTCACATCAGACAATTCATAGTTCCTCTTCTCTTTCTCTTTCATAAGCAACTTATCTGTGAGCTGAAGAACCTGGAAATCAAAATTGAAAAACATCAAGGAGGGCTCATGATAATATGAAAATCAAGATCACTTAATTGTCCAAATCAAATAAAAGAACATCAACCGTTGCATCGAGGTCAAAGTGACAAAGCTACTTACCTCTTCTTTTAGTTTATCTTTCTCTTTGAGGAGATTACCATAATCGGCCTTGAGGCTATTATAGCTGGCCTGCAAAGTGTCATAGTCTTTCTCCAGCTGCTTTGTCTTGCATCGAGCCCGGCGATTTTGAAACCATATGGCAACTTGCCGGGGCTTCAGCCCAAGGTCTTTAGCCAGCTGAATTTTCCTTTCTGGTTCAAGCTTGTTCTCGACCTCGAAACTCTTTTCTAGAAACTGGACTTGGTCAACAGTGAGCCGTCTCTTCTTTTCAGGTTGATGAACGTACTCATCCAAATCTTCATCTCCATTCTCTTCTTGATCAAACGTCCTAAAAAATGATCTGTATGCACTGTTTGTTCCATGAACATCTTCAAAGCTTACCATCGATCTAGTACCTGAAACTGAAGTAAGTCATAATAAAAGTTAGAACTCTTCGAATAGCTTGTCAGCTACATTGATTATTCAGTACCGATTAAACAACTTGGATCATTTTTCTTTTATTATTTTCAATCAAAGTTGCAAAATTTATCACAAAGTAAGGATTTTTAAAGGAGCCCAAATTGAGAAACAATGAAGAAATTACCAAGAAAAGAAGGAGAAGAGCTTGGAATGAAAAGGGGATCAAGAGGCTCAGAAGAGTAAGGAACCCTTTGACTTTGAAGTAAAACAGAGAGATTATTAGAACCACCAGCAGTACTAGTATTACTAGGATAGACCCTTCCACCCGCCATGAAACTTTCAAGCTAAAGGATCGATCTTGTTTATGTTTTTCAAGATATCATCATCATCAGACGATCCAAAATAAGAAAAAGCCACCCTGGTTTTGTGGTTTCTTTGTTTTAAAGAACATAAAATTCTTTACTTCTTAAGGCTTGTGACGAAAGAAGCTGGTGATGATGATTTCGGTAATATGGGATGTGTGGGAACAGCGGCAGCTGACACCCATCACTCAGAAGAGGTTAAATTTTCTTCAGCTTTTGCGGAGGACGGTGAAGGAAAGCTGGAGAGAAAGAGGAGGAAGCAGGTAGTGGCAAAGACAAAAAAATATGGAAAGATTCTTCCTCTCGAAGAGGTGAACTTGATGGGGTTATATTAAGTCCACCGTATGGGGTTTCTTTGGGCATATTGTGGTTGTAGTTACTTCGATGCCCTTAGCTTTTGCTTTGTTGGTAAATTTTGGTTTCACCCTAAATATCTATACTAACAATTAAAACTATCCCCTCCTTAAAAAGAACGTATTTTAATTATTTGAAAATACAAAAAAAAATAATAATATGATATATATATAAATAAATTAATAATTTTTATTTATTTGTATCATGTAAATTTTATAAATTTTCAAAATAAATGAAAATTATTCCAATGATGAAATTAATACAATATTGTTATTAAAAGAATTAGAAATATTTCAATAAAAATTATTATTTATTTTTAATAAATTCTTTGTTGATAAAATAAAAATAAATAAACTTGATTTTTTTAATAGATTTTAAAATATTTGTTAGATGAATTAAAATTTTGAATACTCTTAAGATGATAAAATTTTTTAAAAATTTTGTCATAATATTAGAGAAAATTTTAAAATTTTTTAATATTTAAATTAATAAAATTTAATTAAGAATAATATACCATTTAACTAGGACACTTTTAATATAATATAAAATTAATTGATACTGTATCTAGAACGTTGTGGGGTTATTAATACATTCTCTACATATAAATTTATTAATAACATAAATAAAAGTTGTCCCTAGATAAAGATAACTCTCAATTAAATTGTGAGCTATCAAATTGTTTTTCATTTATCAAATAACTGTTAATTGAAAAAGAAGTGAAATAAGTTATTAGATTTGATAAATAATGATGTATTGGATTTTGATTGGATTGAGACATGGTGAGTTGTGGTTTAATTAGATTTATTTTTAAAAAAATTGAATATTTGTTTGATGTAAATTTGTAATTTGAAGAGATTTTATGGGTTTTGAATTCTTATAATTTTTATCTATAATAAAATTAAAATTAAGAAATATAATAAATATTAATATTAATATTAATAGTAAGTTAATTTTCTTATTGTTTTCTTTTAAAATAATTTTACAAAAAAATTTATATTTTACAATAATTAAAAAATATATAACTCTCATTACGTAATATAAAAATTAACAAAAAAATATAATTACAACTTTTGAAATACTATATATATATATATATTAATTCTAACTTTTTTTGTCAAAATATATGAAATATCATACATAACATAACATAAAAAATTAGCAAAAAGAAGTTCTTTTTCTCCTCTTCATTATTTAATATCAAAAGGTTCATACGTATCCAATACATTTTTATTATACGCTCATTGTAAAACGTGGTTTTTATTTTATTTTTTTAAATTAAAACCCATTTCCAACAAACGATGTTTTCATAATTTGGCACCCTAAGTGAGATATAGGAACCCTTTATTTATTATAAGGAGTCATTTGATCTTTGTTTAAAGTTCCTAAAACTGCTTTGCTAGCAAAGCAAATGCTTAAAATGAAAAAATTCTTTGCAACCCCCAAGGCCCTTCACTTTGCATTGTTCTAATTTTTGCTAGATACTAGTTTAGAATGCCACCAAAACTTTGGGAATAGCAACTTTTATTTCTTTCTTTCCATTACCTCTTTATTTTTATATTTGAAGCAAACACATGGAATTCATATGGAAAATAGCAAAAGCAATAGGGATTGTTAACCATTTTGGTTTATCTTATGAAATATATAAAAGTTTGGATGTAAATTCAATGCATATTGCTTTCAAAAGAAAACTAAAAAATTTATAAAAAAAACTTATAAAATATTATAGTAAAAAAGTTTTCTTATGTCAACGACATTTTGTATTAATTATAAAAGAACTTTAAAATTAAATTGATAATTTTTAAATAAAATATAATAATATTATACGAAAATAATATAAAAAATATAATTTAAAATTAAAAAAAAAACTTTATATAGGTTTGAAAAAAATAAAAAATAAAATTTATATATTATATATTGATACGAAATATAATAAGATAATTTTTATTTTTTATTCATATTTAATATAAATTAATAAATATATATATACATAAATTATCAAATTTATTTAAAATCTAAAATTTAAGTTCAAGTAGCATTATATGTAAAATTAATTTAATTTTATCTTAATTTATTAATTTGAAATTAAATATTAAATAATGATGTAACTTTGATAATGAATTAAATTATTAAAAAAAAAAAACAAGTTTGGGGGGTAATCCGGTAAATGAGGGTATAAAAAAGGTTAAAAATGAAAGCATAGATGCCAACGAGGCAAAGGGGAGAGAAAGAAGAGAGAAAAAAAAAAAAAAAAAGAATCGTTTGTATTCAGTCGCTTTCGAAATCGGAGTGGCTGAGCCCAAATTTGTACGGATGGCTCGACCATCCCCTGCCCTCCCTGGCTCTAGAGTGTAGAGAAATGCTCCTGCTCTGCCCCACCACCCACCCTGCTCAGTTTCCTATACGTTCGGCTCCCATTGGCCCACGTCAATGTCACTCTTGGCCCAACTTCCTTCTCTGTATTCTTTCCCCATTTCTTTTTCTCTCGAGATCCCCCGATGCAATACCAGCGCCAACACAAATGAAAAGTAACCATAATTAATAATCTTCCTAAATTATTTGGAAGAACTTATATAAATTTTTTAAAATCAAGTTGGTGAAATTTTTTAATTAAAAGTAATTTAATAAAATTTTAATAACAGAATTTAATATAAAATATTATTAAAAATATTATTTATAATTAAATTTAATTAATACTTATTTAATAGTAAAAATTTTATTAAAATATTTACCCATTTAAAAATATATCAAAATTTATTAAATTTTTTTCAAATTTTACATATTTAAGTTATATGATAATAACTTTTAATTTATCAATTTTTTAATTGATTTTAATAAAATATTCACGAATTTTTCTCGACAAATTTCATGTAAATCTTTTCATAAAATTTTTATTCTATCATGAATTAAAATACTAGTAACAATTTTTTTCTACAAAAAAATAGTAACAACATAAAAGATTGTACGAAATCTTGGCCCAAACTAAAAAAAAATTTGTATAAAATTGTTATTATATATTTTCAATATGTATTTTTCATCTAAATTATATCATGTAATTATATTATTAAAAAATTAATTATTCATAATGTATTGTATATATGAATCTATTAAAATAAATAGAGATGAATGCATAAGACAAGCATGGTCATGCCCTCTCCCCTTCCCAAATTTTTTTTGTTAAAATAACAAGAAAGTCCCTATATTTTATTTTTTTATTTACATAAGATTTTATATTTTTATTACGGTTAAATAAGATCTTAACTTTTCATTTGAACTTAAATAAATTTTACTTTTTTATTTGAATTCAAATAAATTTTTAATATTTAATTTATATATAAATAAACATTTAATTTTTAATTTATACTTAAATAAATCTTTAATTTATATAATCTTTGATTCGAAATAAAAGTTTATTTAAATATATAAAAAAATAAAAATTTATTTAAATATAATAAAATATAAAAATTTATCGAACTAAAATAGTAAAATTTAAGAATTTTTTCAATGTTTTAATATTTTTTACACCATTGTAACCTATTTACTTCACAGTTTGGCCCTGTTTTATATATATATCTTACTCAAGAAAAAAAGTGCTAAATGAAGCCAAAAGGATCTCTCACCGTTCAACCAAAAAAGCCAATTGCATTATTGAAAAAAAAAAAAAAAAGGCAAATTGCATGGGTATCAATTGTATCATTACCATAAACTAAAAAGATAATCAAATCAAAAGCAAAGATGGAGTGTAGAGCCTAAATACATGCACAACGGGATTATGACAGTTTTATTAGTAGCCAACACATTTTTTTGCACTTCTTATCAGCTCCATTTCTTTTTTTGATGGAAACTTCCCTCAAATAAAACAAATTAAAAGTGGAGCTTATCACTGCGACTTTTTCATTTTTAAAGAAACCAATCAATTGAAAAGCACTTAAAAATGCAGATTCAATGCATCATATGGGCGATTAATGTTTATTCTTCTATTATAATAGTAAGAAATTGACTATCTGCTACAAGGAGAAAATGCATGAGCCTGCTATGATTTTTTTTCTCGGTTCTCTTATGGTACAGAATGTGGCACGATGGTCTAGACTTTCATGGCTATAAAGCCACCAAAACTACCCCCTGTTTGGTTTTCTGCTCCCTTCTGTAGCATGAAAATGATGCAATTTCAGGTATTGACTTAGTAAATGTAGGTAAGTAAATGAGCATTTCCATTTCTTTTTTCACGTAGGAAAAGAACATTTCCTATTTTTTCTTTTTTTATAGAGGAAATCTTTGTACGAAGATAAAAAAAATTATAAATATTGAAGTTTAAATTTAAAGTTTATTGCATATCACATTTGCATGAATAAATTAAATTAAATTTATATTAAAAAAACATTTGAATATAATTCTTAAATATTTGAATCAATCTAATCCATAAGACAGTTGAGAAATTTAAATACTGCATTGCTTATTTTCTCATTTTTAACTACGCATAACTTAAATGTTGGAGTTGGAAGTTAAAGCCAATTATCAGTGATATTTCTCACATGTTGCATATTATTGGCGTTGGGTTTCGAAGTGAAACCTTGAAATAGCTGGAGAAAAAGAGGACGGTTAAAGCGCAAACGCAAAAGATGTTTTTTACGTTTTCACTCTAACACCTAAGTCAAAAGGTAAAAATTAAAAAATTTTAAAAAATAAAGTAAAAATAAAAGATAAATTAGATGTCTAAATAATATTTATAAGATTTTATTTATAGACAAAAATAAAAAAAAATAAACAATAACATGATCAAATTAATATGATATTGATATTATAAATTATTTTAACATATTAAATCGACCAAAATCTAACTTTCTTTACTAAAAGAGAATAGGCAAAATACCTTTAGACCTAAAATTATCCCTAACATATATGATTTCTGAAACCAAGATTGTCCTAAAAGGCAGCTGATTAGGTATTTTTCTAAGCTATCAAGGGG